TCTTGGGGGTCTGGAGGGGCGGGTGCGAAACGGTGTACATAGTATGGTATTCCAATGCCCTGCCCGCTCTGTCGGGGCCTCCCTTGTCCCCCTTTTTCCTATCCATTTTCTCTCCCTTTCCCCTCCCTTTTTCAATTTTCCATCGCTTTTCCTCCCCATGTCCTTCCATTTTCCCTCCCTGTTTTCTTTCCGTCCCCTATCCTATCCCTCCTTTTTTCCCTCCCATTGTCCTTCCCTTTTTCCCTGCCTTTTCCGTCCCTTTTCCTTTCCTTTCTATTTATATGGTATATTCCTTTTAACTTCCTTATCCCTCCCGTTGTTTATTTTTTTTCCCTCCCGTTTCCTCCCCAATCCTTCCATTTTCTATCCTTTTTCGTACATGTTCCCTCCCGTTTCCCTTGCTTGTCCGTCCTTTCCCTACCGTTTTCCCTTCCTTTTCCTTCCTTTCCCTACCGTTTTCCCTGCCATTTTCCCTTCCTTTTCCCTTTTCCCTCTCTTTCCCGTTACTTGTTCCATATCTGTTCCCTTCCTTTTCCTCCCCTGTCCTTCCCGCCCTTTTCCCTGCCTTTTCCTTCCGTGTCCCTCCCTTCCCCCCCTATCCTTCCCTTTTCTTTCCCTTTCCCCCCCCCCTATCCTTCCCTTTTCCTTCCCTTTTCCTTCCCTGTTCCCTCCCTTTTTCTTTCCTTTTCCTTTCCCTCCCTTTTTCTTGTCATTTCCCTCCCTTTTCCCCCCTTTTCCCTCCCCTTCCTTCCCTTTTCCCCCCTGTCCTTGCCCTTTCCCATAATTTGGTCCATCCCTTTGTCCATCCTTTTTTCCCTTTCTTTTCCCTCCTTTTTCCCTCCCTTTTCCTTCCCTTTCCCTCCCTTTTTCGACCTCTTTTCCCTCCCTTGTTCCCTGTCTTTTCCCTCCCTTTACCCTCCTTGTTTCCCTCTCTTTTCCCTCCCTGTTTCCCTCTCTTTTCCCTCCCTTTTCCTTCCCTTTTTCTTTCCTTTTTCCAACCCTTTTCCTTCCCTGTCCTTCCCCTTTGCAACCCTCAATTTTCGCTTTTTCCCGGGCCGAATGAAGAGCAGGGGCGGCCCGCGGAATCAATTAACTCCGGAGCCAAGTGATTTTGCGGCCGGGTGGAAGCAGCACTCATAGAGTGACTTAACTGCGGAGGTAAGTCGTCGTGAAGGTGGTATCAATACAAAATGAGAAAATCACTTAACTTCGGAGTTAAGTGATAATTACCTTCCTGGTTTCAGTGTTTTTCAATATTCCCCCTGTAGAGGGACAGGCCCGACTTCAGTCGAGGTGTTGACTTTTTTTCCGCGACGTCGGATCTCAGGGAACGACGAACTTTTCGACGTTCGCCGTCCGCGGCTCCTGCGGCGTTTTCGTGGGCTTGTCGTGGCAAGCCGTGGAAAGAATACTTTGGGGTTCCTGGCGTTTCGGGTCGCGGCGGCTTGGGACAAGACGCGGTCGGCCGAGAGAGGCAGGTCGACTCAGCCAGCTGTCCATCGGAGAGAGAAGAAGGAGCGGCCGCAGATGCAGGAAGAAGAAAGAGCCCCACTCGGGTACAAGCCAGAAGACTCGACCAAACTCGAGGAGCGGGGATCTTTCATCGTGATGTTCAAGATCCAGATGCCGCTTCCAGATCGATTCCTGTAGGCCTAGAGAGAAAGAAACAAAAACTTGCTCTGGTGGATTCTGGAGGTGTCTGGGGACCGATTTTGAGCGGATTGGATCAAGCATATCCGTGTCCATGCCGTTGAGGTCTGGGCACCGAAGCGCGATCCTATGGATACGCAATCCTCTGGGCACGCCTCGCGCAGGGCATTCGCGCACGGAGCCGCCCTGTGTCCGCGCAATCGCGGCCGAGAAGTCCGGACCATGTCCGAACCGCAAGGCCGTGGCACGGTCATGCACTCTCGACGTCGGCGCTGATCAGACGGGCGAGATCTCGAGGGGGGGCACGAGGATTTGGGGCCCCTCTGGGACCCTAGATTTAGGTCGGGCATGTCCCCCTACAGGTGGATTTTGGACGAAAAATGAAACATAATTACAAGAAAAAACAAAAATACCCCAAAATCGTCCCCGGGCTATTTCTTCAACTATTTTCGAATATTCCTCCTGTAGAGGGACAGGTCCGACTTAACCCCAGATCTGGCCGAAATCGTCGTGTTCACCCGAAACGCCGACCGCAACACATCGGCTTGATCTTCATCGACCCAAAATTTGGCTGGCGCCCGCGTGTTTCCCGCCCCTGATGCCCTACAGGAAGGGGAAATGGATGCATGGGAAGGTCCGGGGAGGACTCGGCGTTCTCCAGCGCAGGACGCGCCAGCGTGGCCCCGCCCCGCTCGATGGCGTGAGCGGCTCCTCGGTCTGCATTTGTTCGACGGCTGTGGGCAGCTGATGCCCTCCTTGATTGGAGGAGGAGAAGGAAAGGAGGAGGAGGAGGCGGAGGAGGAGGAGGGGGAGGAGGAGGGAGGAGGAGGAGGAGGATGAGGAGAGGAGGAAGAGGAGAGGAGGGCGAGGAGGAGGAGGAGGCGGAGGAAGAGGAAGTGAAGGAGGAGGTGAAGGAGGAGGGGGAGGAGGAGGGTCGGCTGTCCGGGCCTGCCTCCTCCAGAGTTCAGCCACGGCCGTGGCAGGTCTCAAAGGCGGCGCTCCGCAACAGAGGATACGAATCTGAGCATGAAGGGCCTTGTTTGCTCAATCTGGGGCCCTGGGCCCCAGGGCTCCAGGTCCTATTCGTAAACAGGGTCTGAACATGAGACCCTTCAGAGCCTGTTTACTCAATCTGGGGCCCTGGGCCCCAGGGCTCCAGACTCTATTCGTAAACAGGGTCTGAATATTAGACCCTTCAGACCCTGTTTACTCAATCTGGGGCCCTGGGCCCCAGGGCTCCAGACTCTATTCGTAAACAGGGTCTGAACATGAGACCCTTCAGACCCTGTTTACTCAGTCCGGGGCCCTGGGCCCGAGGGCCTGGGACGCGTCCCTGCCGCCGTCGTCCTGGCTGTCTTCTTGGTACCACCGCCCTCTCGGCTGTCGTCGCTCGTCGTCCCTGGTCCTCGTCGTCACCCGCTGTCAACGTCATCGTCATCGTGGTCGTCACTCGTCGTTCGTCTCTCGTCCTCCGTCACCTCTCTTCGTCGTCGTCGCTCGTCAGCATCATCGTCGCTACTCGCCGTCGGCAGTCGTCTCCGTCGCCGTCGTCTTTGTCCTCGTCGTCGTCGTCACTTGTCGTCGCCGTCGTCCTCGTCGCTCGTGGAGGAGAAAAGGGTCGCAGAGGCGGGGGTGGAACCAAGGAAATCCTTCGAGGTTGCCATCTTTCGGGCGGCCACATTTCCGATGAGCGCGGCAAAGACGAGGCATGCGATTCGCCGAGATAGCGCTGCCACTTGCGCGCATAATATGTGTGCGTCGCCTGGGCGATAAACAGCATTTCGCCCGCTCTCGCGTGGCCCCGCTGCCGGTGCCGCTTGCAACGACTCGCCGAGCGAGACAGGCGCCGCGCCCACGCGGGAACGCCACTTCAAGAGAAATGTGGACGGAGCTTCGGAGAGGGCGACAGGTCTCAAGGGGCCCTGGGACACACACATAGATGCATGCAAATCTAAGAACTCCCCCTATATTTTTGCACATCTTCTGGGTTCTCGCCTTCCCCCCCCCCTTGTCCATGTCTTCCTATGATTTTCTTGGGAATCGACGATTCATTGTGTCTGTGTTACCCTCCTGGAAGTCACTCGCTCGCACAGGGCCCCAGCAACTTCCTGCGAATCCCAAGCGCGGAAGCGCGGCGCCGAGGTCGGACCGACATGGTTCGTCGGCGCGCGCGCCGACGACTCGGCGCACGGGACACGTGCGCGCCGCGCCCAGGCTGGAGCTCAGCCCTCACGATACACGAGCGCGGTGGCGGGGGGAGAGAGCGACTTTTTGTTGGCCCCGTCGCGCAGGCGCTCTGCCACGTCGACGCCGAAGCGTCCACATCATCGAAAACAGAAACGTCGACTTTGAACTGTTCTTTGGTCAGTCGGCTGGAAGGGCCCGGAACGTGTTGCCACCAGTCGGAAGTACGAGTATGTACAAATTCGCCGGCCCAACGGGCCAGAGGCGTGCTAAGATCTCCATTAATTGCGTACAGTATTTCTGCTTCGCGCGCGCGGAGCGGCCCCTGGGGTTCCCCGGACGAAAAGTACCCCGGACGGTCCCCGACCGGCTCGGGTCAGAGATCCCCGGTCGGGTCGGGTCGGGTGGGCGCCGCCCTCGAGGCCCTCCAGAAAGCCCCGAGAAGGGCCAAGAGGCCCCCAAGATAGAACAAGAGGGCTCCGAGATGCCACAAGATAGGAGGATGAGGAGGAGGAGGAGGTGGAGGAGGAGCGTACGTTGGCGGAGGAGGAGGAGGAGGAGAAGGAGGAGGAGGAGGAGGCGGCTGAGGCGGCGGAGGAGGGGGGGGCCTCACTTTCGTTTCTCCTCATTTTCTCGGGCCCCGTCGGCGCGGCACCCTTTAGCTCCAGGGGGTCGCGGGGGTGGGCTTTCTGGCTCCCCCTAAATGTGGCGCGCAGACAGACGATGCTTGGGTCAGGCTTGGTCGAGAAGGAGGAGGAGGAGGAGTCTCTGGAGTCTCTGGAGTCTCTGTCTGATCGCGTAGCGATGTATGACATTGAAAACGAGGAGGAGGAGGAGGAGGAGGAGGAGAGGAGGAGGAGGAGGACGAGGAGGAGGAGGAGGAGAACAGAGGAAAAGGAGAGGAGGAGGAGGAGGAAAGAGGAGGAGGAGGAGGAGGGAAGAGAAACATTATTATATATATATATAGAAGAGGAGAAGGTAGATGGATGATAGGAGGGGAGGAGAAGGAGGAGGAGGAGGAGAGGAGGAGGAGATGGACGTGAAGATGCAGGAGGAGAGGAGGAGGAGGAGGAGGAGGAGGAGGGGCAGGAGGAGGAGAAGGAGGACGGGGGTGGAGGAGGAGGAGGAGGAGGAAGGAGGAGGACGGGGGTGGAGGAGCGGGGAGCCTGGAGCACCTCCGTTCCGGCCACGAGGGCGTGCTTCGCTGGGAAGCGCTGGCCCCTCCCGACCTCGGCGGGGGCGGCGGGCGCGGGGCCCCTGGGGGGGGGCGGGCAGGCGGCGAGCGGGGCGCTGCACGGACGGGCCCTGCGCTCCTCCGAACCCGGGCCGCTGGGAGGCCCCCGGGGGACCTCCTGCAGGGGCGCCCAGGGGGTCCCCCGGGGCCATGGATCCAGGGGGTTCCCCGGCATGGGGGGGGGTCCCCTCCCCCCCGGCATGTGGAGACTACAGGAAAGGGGCGTGCATGTATATACCTGTATATATATACATATATACATATATATATATATATACATAGATGTGTGGGTGTCCATTTAGTAGTGTGTATATATATATATATTAATATATATATATATATATATGTTTATATGCACTTCTCTCTTTACATATGTAGAGGTTTCTAAACGCGTGTGTGTACAAATGATACTATATACACCACACCTCCTCCTCCTCTTCCTCCACCTGTGCCTCCTCCTCCTCCTCCTCCTCCTCCTCCTCCTCCACCTTCCTCCTGCTCCTCCTCCATCCTCCTCCTCCTGCTCCTCCGCCTCCTCCTCCTCCTCCTCCCTCCTCTCCTCCTCCTCCTCCTCCTCCTCCTCTCTTCCTCTCCTCCTCCTCCTCCTCCTCCTCCTCCCCTCCTCTCTTCCCCCCTCCTCCTCCTCCTCCTCCTCCTCCTCCTCCTCCTCCTCCTCCTCCTCCTCCTCCTCCTCCTCCTCCTCCTCCTCTTCCCCCTCTTCCCCCTTCCTGCTCTAAGCGCGCCAGCCGTCTGCAGTGGCTCCGTCGGCGCCAGGCGCTGCACGGGCATGCTCTCACCAGTGAGCGTCGACTCGTCGCACACGGCCGCGCCTCCGCCGACGGGGGCAGAGGGAGAGAGAGCAGGAGGAGGAGGAGGAGGAGGAGGAGGAGGAGGAGGAGGAGGCAAAGGATGAGGCAAATGTGGAGGCAGATGGCAGATGATTTCTTCCAGAAGCTCTGGAGAGAGAGAGAGAGAGAGGATAGATGGCAGATGGTTTCTGGTGAGCGTCTTTTATTCGGTGCTTCGACATTGGGCAGAAGGGGGGGGGGGTCTGGCTCCGGACCTCTGCTTGGTGCGACTGCTTTCGACAGGGCGTCCTGTGGGGGAGGGGCTCCACCTGCTCGACACGGGCGCCGAAAAACACCCAAGATCTGCTCCGTGGGGGGGGGGGCGAAGGGGGGGTGGGGGGTCCGCGCCGATCGGCAAAACAAGGAATAAAAGAACGATCCCTTTGAACACCTCCCATCCGAGGTGTCGGGCCTTTGCGGACGTGCTCGCGAGTTCCCCGAGAGGCCTTCGGGTCCCCATGGTGCTCTCCAGCAGCTGCGCCCCGCCGGGGGGTGCCCAGGGTCGCCCCGAGCGGGCGCGGGAGGCCCGAGCTGTGGCCCGAGGACCCGACCTCCTCTCCGAGGGGGAGCGGGCGAGGGGCCAGCTCGGGGGGGGGGGGGGCTCTTCGGGCTCGAGCCGGCGATGCACAGCCGATAGGTCGGCGCCCCTGAGAACAGATCCCAACAGCGTTCCCGGGCGGAGAGGGCCGTCGGGCGTCAAGCGGCGATGAGTGGGCGATTGGGGGTCGATGTATCCCCCCCCCCGACCTATTCCCCCTCCCCCCCGTACTGGAGGAAGCTCAGGGTACCGGTGCCGCTGCTCCCCCGACATCTCCCGTGGTGCGTTCTGACCAGAACCTCGAGGCGAACCCAGCAGTGGCGACGAGAGCCTCTCAGGAGGGCCCCAAAACGGCGAAAACGAGGGGAGCGTGGCGCAGCGGTGTGGGTACCTTTTCTAGGCGGCGCGGTCGGGGAGGAAAAGAGGAGGAGGAGGAGGAGGAGGAGGAGGAGGACGACGAGGACGAGAACGAGGAGGAGGAGGAGGAGAGGAGAGGAGGAGGAGGAGAGGAGGGAGGGGGCGGGCCTTCCCAGGGGCCTCGGAACTCCCCCAGCCTTCTGAGGAGTCCTCTCGGCTTCCCCCGAGGACGCGAGAAACCTCCCAGAAGGCCACGGGCCTTCTGAGAAGCCCCGCCGTCTTCGGAGAAGGCCTTCTCCTTCTCACTTCCCCCCCTCGCTCGCCGCCGAGGAGGAGGAGTCGGAGGGAGGAGGGAGGAGAAGCAGGAGGAGGAGGAAGGAGGAGGAGGAGGAGGAGGAGGAGGAGGAAGGAGGAGGAGCCGAAGGAGGGAGGAGAGAGGAGGAGAGGAGGAGTAGGAGAGGAGGAGGAGGAGGAAGGAGGGATAGAGGAAGGAGGAGAGGAGCAGGAGGAGGAGAGGAGGAGGAGGAGAGGAGGAGGAAGGCAGGGGGAAGGAGGAGGGGAGGAGGAGGAGGCGAGCGCCCCCCCCCCCGACTCCATCCGTGACGCCGCTCGGCGGCGCAGCCGCCGGGGGCCCCCGCGCTGCTGCCGCGCGCCGCGGCGGCGCGGCGCGGGCGGCCTGCGGCGCGCCGCCGAGGGGGCGTGCCGCCTCGGCACCCTGCGGCGTGCCGCGCGGCGGCGCGGCGACGGCGCGGCCGCGGGTCGGCGGCACAAGGGTAGGGTCCTGAGGGATGGGGTCCCGAGGACCCAGACCCCCTCGAGTGGTGGAAAAATCATGACGGGAAGGTTTTCCTCCATTTTCGGCCTCCGGGGGCCCTCACCGGGCCTCGGGGGCGTCAAAAAACGACTCAGGACGCAGAGCCGGTCATGGGGAAAAGGTCGGGACCTCTGGGGGTCGACGTAGTGAAAAAATCATTACGTCGGGGGTCCCGAGGACGAGGTGCCCGAAACAAGGCAGATTTTCCCCTCAGATCGGGCCCCTTCCTGTCCCTGAGGTACCCCATCCCTCAGGACCCCACCCTTGGACCACCGAGCGGGGGCGAACCACCGCTACCCTCCCCGTGGGGCCCACGTAGGAACAATCCACTAGAAGGCGTCTGTGTATGACTTCTTCGGCGGAGGCCCAACCGGGAGCGGGGCCTCGCAGGAGGAGGAGGAGGAGGAGGAGGAGGAGCATGAGTATGAGTCAAGCTGGCCAGTTCGAGCGAGTCTAGCATGGCATGTCCATTCCTACCCGCCCTCCCACAACATAAGAAACAGTGCTGGCGCAACTGGGGACCGAAATCAGACCGGCAAGGTGGTTTGCCACAGATGATGCAGCCGCGATGGCGGTTACCGGTAAGAAATCCATGGCGCGTGTCACAGACTGCGCTGGCATTTCAGCACGAGCCGGGGAGGCCCCAGGAAGCCCCAGGAGGCCCCAGGAAGCCTCAGGAGAAGCCCCAGCGACCCCCAGGAAACCCCAGGAGGCTTCAGGAGGGCCCAGGAAGCCCCACGTAATCCCAGGAGGCTTCAGGAAACCCTAGGAAGTGTCAGGAGGCCCCCAGAGAATTCCAGGAAGCCCCAGGATGCCTCAGGAGGCTCCAGGAGGATCCACGAGGCCCTGGGGAAGCCCGGGGAAGCCCCAGGATGTCCCAGGAGACCCTGGGAGGCCCCAGGGGGCCCTAGGCGCTCGACGAATTAGCGAGCGAAAAGTGTGCGCCGCGCCGTAGCTGAAGCGCAGATTTCAGAAAACATGCGCGCTGCGCCGAAGCGAAAACGACACTTCGCCCTGTCGCGCGCGATGTGCACCGCGCCCCCTTCCTGCCACGCATTTCGCAAAGCCAACGACAAGAACATCCCCACTGAGAAGAAGCATGTCGTCGTTGTATGGTTTTTGACAAGTAAGATGGCCCCTCCCGCTTGGGGTTGCCCCACACGTCCGCGCGCGATGTGCGCCGCGTCCCACTCTTGCTGCGCATTTCGCATCGCCGACGACAAGAAATGCCACGTTGAGAGAAAAAGCGGCGACATTGTATCGATTTGTTCCATTAGGATGAGAGGGCCCAGATTGACGGCCGCGCTCGATGTGCGCCGCGTCATATTCCTGCTACGCATTTCGCATTGAAGACGACAAGAAAGGCCATGTTGAGAGAAAAACGACGACTCTGTATAGACTCTTTTAATTATCCCGGCAAAGCTACCTAACAGCGATGAGTATAAGCATATCTGGAAGCATTCCCCTTAAGATTCAGGTGAGAATCCAGTCGTAGAATTCTGCTGTTCTCGCAGTCGCAGTCGCATTCGCAATGACAGTCGCAGTGGCAACGGCCTTAGGATCCAATGGAATCCTAAGGATTCCTAGGGATTCCTAAGGCATCCTTGGGCATCCTTGGGCATCCTTGGGAATCCATAGGAATCCTTAGGAAACCTGAGGAATCCTTAGGAATCCTGATTCCCAGGGATTCCTATGGATTCCTAGGGATTCCTAGGGAATCCTAGGGAATCTTAAGGATTCCTACCTGAGCCTGCCTCGGCCTCAGCCTCAGCCTGCCTCAGCCTCAGCCTGCCTCAGCCTCAGCCTCAGCCTGTCTCAGCCTCAGCCTGCCTCAGCATCAGCCTCAGCCTCAGCCTCAGCCTGCCTCGGCTTGCCTCGGCCTCAGCCACAGCCTGCCTCGGCCCAGCTTCAAGCCTCAGCCTCAGCCTCAAGCGTCAAGCTCTCAGCCTCAGCCTGCATCAGCCTCAGCCTCAGCCTCAGCCTGCCTTTCAAGCCCTCAGACCTCAGCCTCAATCCTGCCTCACCGCAGCCGTCAGCCTCTCAGTCTCAGCCTGCCTCAGCCTCAGCCTGCCTCAGCCTCAGCCTGCCTCAGCCTCAGCCTCAGCCTGCCTCGGCCTCAGCCTGCGTCAGCCTCAGCCTCAGCCTGCCTCAGCCTCAGCCTGCCTCAGCCTCAGCCTGCCTCAGCCTCAGCCTCAGCCTGCCTCGGCGAGCCTCAGCCTCAGCCTCAGCCTGCCTCGGCCTCAGCCTGCCTCGGCCTCAGCCTGCCTCAGCTCGGGCATTCAAAATATGGCACAGGACTGGTGTTCTGGGAACACGAAGATCACGAAGTGGCCTACAGTTGGCTCCGGGCAATCAAAATATGGTACAGGAATGGTCTTCTGGGAACACGAAGAACACAAAGTGGCCTACAGTTGGCTCCGGGCATTCAAAATGTGGCCTGGGAATGGTGTTCAGGGTACACGAAGAACACGAAGTGGCCTACAGTTGGCTCCGGGCATTCAACATGTGGCCTGGGAATGGTGTTCTGGGAAGACGAAGAACACGAAGTGGCCTACACTTGGCTCTGGGCATTCAAAATGTGGCCTGGGAATGGTGTTCTGGGAACACGAAGAACACGAAGTGGCTTACAGTTGGCTCTGGGCATTCAAAAGGTGGTCTGGGAATTGTGTTCTGGGGAGTCCCCGGATCCTCCCGGCACCCGCCTAGACCTCCTCTGGGGAGTCCCGGGGAGTCTCCGGATTCCCCCGGCATCCGCCCAGACCCCCCTGGGGAGTCAATATGCTCTCTTTTGAGCCCACTAGAAACCTATCAGTCTTCGCTGTTAGGTAAAATAGGACGGGAGGGCCCAGATGGAACCCCGATCGACTGGCCAGAGATGGGGAGTAAGAGTATATTCGAATCAAGAATAAGGATCTGAGTACGCATATGCATATGAATATGAGTATGAGTATGAGCATGAGTATGAGTATGAGTACGAATATGAGTAAGAGTACGAGTATGAGTATGACTATGACCATGTGACAAAGTCAGGAAGTCTACAACGTGATGAAATTACACAAGAGGTAGGACTATACACGACCACGGTTCTGCTTCCCTCTTGCACTAAGCACTGTAGGCCACAAACCACGCGAGATCTGATCGAGATATTCAGCCCGATGTGCGGTGACACGCATGGTACAAGCCTGGCCAAGTTCACGCAAGACTGAGGAGGCATAGCAACCGCACTGCCTACAGTACCGCAGCTGAAATTGCGAATTATATTGCATGAAGTGAGACTGGTCCACCCACCCACCCACCCGCTATATGTAACCGCGCAAGGGGGGGCTTAAACAGGATGGCACCAGTATAGTGGACAGGACTGAAGCATTCGGACTGGCGCCAAGTCGTGGCAGCGGTCTGGCTGGCCGACCCACCGCAGCAGGCACACCTCCCCCCACTGTCATCGCGACGGCAGGGGGTAGAGAAAAGAGGGAGAGAGCAGCAGCAGACGGAGGACGAGGCCCTGGATCAAAAAGCGCGTTACAAGTTGAACGCGACGTGGACATCGCGCCACATCTGCGGGGGGGCAAGGCGGGCCCTCTCCAACCGCCGATCTACGGATATCAGAAAGAAGATCAAAACATAAAAATTGACCTCCAAACTTGCTGCTAGTCAGAGCTGGACGAGGGACAGGAGGGGAGGATTTTTCCTGAGGCGCAGGAGCGACGTCCGCTCTCATCGCGTAGCGGGCTGCCCTCAACAGCCGCATGCGGCCGAGCCTCGCCCCCCTGTCGTGCACGAGCACCTGCTGCCTCAGAGACCCTGGGAGGCGCGCTTCACCGTCTGCTGCTGCGCCCGCAATCACATCCACGACCGGATCGCCTGTGATATAGGAAGGCACCAACTATACACCAACACCGATCCTGGCCCAGGATCACCCTGGGCCCAGGATCGGTGTATACGCCCTCCTGCCTTGCGCAAGAAGGCATATACACCGATCCTGGGCCCAGGGTGATCCTGGGCCAGGATCGGTGTTGGTGTATAGTTGGTGCCCTCCGAGATATCCCACCTCGGGCCCGAATCGAGGCAGATCTTGGCGGCGCCAGGGCGGGGGGGTGCACAACTAGGGCTGCACTACAGGCGAGACTGCGACCCTCCACCGACTGCCCGAGCACGGCACAGAGGTCGGCGTCGGGGCCGCTCGGGACCTCGAATCGCCTCGCGAACCCGCCCGCGACAACCGACTATAGTCGATCACGTAGGCGATGCACCCACTGGAGGCCCAGATGGCCAGCGCGAAACTCCGAAGCCCACCGCGCGGCACTGCCTGCCCGTCACCACAGAGGGCAGAGGGGGCCGCGGATCGACCCCGCGAGAGACAGCGCCGGCCCGAGCAAATGGAAGCAAGCCGCTGCACTCCTCCTCCTCCTCCTCCTCCTCCTCCTCCTCCTCCTCCCACCTCCTCCTCCTCCTCTCCTTTCCTCCTACTTTTCCTCCCCCTCCTCCCTCCAATCCTCTCCTCTCCCTCCTCCACCTCCTCCTCCTCCCTCCTCCTCCCTCCTCCTCCTCCTCCTCCTCCTCCTCCTCCTCCTCCCTCCTCCTCCTCCATCCCACCCCGCGAAACTTAGCGACGGCTGCGTCGGGGCCGCCGCCTGGCGCCTCCGAAAAAAGAAGCAGCGGGGCCTGCGCCTCGTCGTGGCCGCAGCAGCCCGGGCCGAGCACGCGCGGGCCGGCCGCTGTCCACGACTCTGCCCGAGCGGGCGGCGACTGCCGCCAATGATGCAGGGAGCGAGCCCCTGAGCTAAAGGGCTGACATCAACCTGCGACTGGACCATGGCCCGATGCACCAGGTCCTCCGTTTGTTGGCGTGCCGTCCTGTCAACGTTGGAGCTACACATCCAACTGCGACGCAACTGGGCCTCGGGCTCCAGATGACAGCGAGGGCGCCGATCGGTGCCAAAATCAAGGAATCTCAGCTTTCTTCCTCGCACGTGGCCACGTCCCTCCTACCGCAATCGCCAGCGTGACCTCGCCGAGCCTTTGACCAACCTGCGGGGCGTCATGAAGTTGCCGCAGCAACACGCGATCTGATTCAACATCCAGTACATCCTGAAAGCCGTCGCCACAGTTGCATGCACTCGCTCACCGCCAGTACCGAAGTTGGAGAAGGTCAGAGCAATTCTCGAGGAGACCTGCATGACTGTCAAGAGCACGAACTCCAGCACACACACGGCATCATCCAATCTCCACTCATCGCGCGCAAACTCGCGAGGCTCAGGAATCATCCAAGCCGTGGCTGAAGGTACAGACCACCCAGACTCCCCGAGATGCACTACAACAGCCGACGCTGGCCCTTGCGCGTACCTGGTGCAGTGCGACACTGGGATCCCCGGAAACTGGTCCACCACCGACATCCAAATACGATGAATACTCCAGATTTCGTAATAAAGGGAGGGGGGTCTCATTTCGGGGGGGGTCTCTTCCAGGCTATCTTGGAGGGCCTGGGGGGTCTGGGGACGATGTTCTGGAGGGTTCTCCCACGGGGAAGGTCTGAAATGGCTTGTCTTGGAGGGTCCAGTCTAAAAATAGCTTTAAAAGTCTATTACGAAATCTGGGGTACCTGCTCTGATCTCGGGGTGATCCCGCCACATCAACACATGCACGTCAGCGCACTGCGCGGGCAGCTCGACGCCCGCGCCCTGCCGCGGAGCCCCCTCGGGGCGAGGAGGGCCGCGAGACGCCTCCCTCGCGCGGGGGGCTGCTCGGCTGCACGAACAGGAGGAGGACGAGGAGGAGGAGGAGGACGAGGAGGAGGAGGAGGAGGAGGACGAGGAGGAGGAGGAGGAAGGAGGAGGAGGAGGACGAGGAGGAGGAGGAGGACGAGGAGGAGGAGGACGAACAGGAGGACGAACAGGAGGACGGGGATGAGGACGAGCAGCAGGAGGCCGTGGTATCGACGGGGATGAGGACGAGCAGCAGGCGGCTGGCGACCTGGCACCGCGCAGCTGCCTTGGCCAACCCCCCCGACCTCCAGGCCCACGCCCTCGTGCTCCGCGCCCCGCCTCGTCTCTGCGCGGCCCGCGCAGGCCTCGACCCGCAGACGAGGCCCGACCCGGGGACGCGCGCCTGCGACGGCGCCGCGGCACGACGCCCCGACCTTCGCGCAGCGCGCGGCGACCCCGCGAGCGCCCGCCACGTTCGTGCACGTGGCCACCGACGTCGGGGACGCACGCAGCTGTCTGGCCTCCTGGGGCCTGCACGCGTCCAGGACTGACTACTTACCAAACCACCCCAACCCAACCCGAAGACCCGAATTTCGGGTTGGGGGGGTATGGGCTCCATATGTGTTTTTTCGATGTTCCCCGACCCCCCCCCCACTGGAAATGGAGGGCAAATTGAGGCCTTCGGGTTGGGTTGGGGTGGTTTGGTGGGTGGTGAAGGACGCACACCTTCAGGCTCCGACGGACATGCGCACATGATCCGCGGACCTGCTGCGAGAGGCCGACGACCCACACCCCGCGGTCGCCGGTCGCCAGCGGGTGTCCTTCAACAGCCCCATTCAGCACGAAGTGGGCGAGGTTCCCGACCGCAGCCCTTGAACCATACTCCGAGTCTGTTGGAACGGTGCCGAAGTGGCCCCAAGCTGGCCCAGGACCCTCGGCGAAACACACTGGAGAAGCTCCAGGCCGAGAATAACTGGGGGGAAGTGCATCTCCAGCGCTGCGTCCGCCAAGTACGGCCACTCGATCGAGTCGTAGAGGCCGCCGACGTCAACCAAACCGTGGCCCGCGCTCACATGAAGGCGCACGCTCACCCCCTCCTGCACAGCTCGGAAGAACGCTTCACGTAAACTCGAATCGCCACGAACCGCGGCGTCCCACTTCTCCTCGGTCTCGGCGGACCACTCGCGGACGAGCGGCTCTCTGATCATAGACCAGGGCTGACCAAGGAGAGGCACCAGCCCGATAATCCGATCCCCTTGCGTTTTCTTGGGGAGCATCCTCCCCGCGATGAGCAGCAGCTGCCCTGGCTAGCGAAGGCACTCCTCGCAGGCGGCGAAGAGCAGAGCCAGCCCAGCGAGTGCCGTATCTGGGCGCCGTTCCAAATCCACTGGTGAGAGGAAGTCCACTCCCATACCTGTGGAAGCCCGCATTTTCCTGAGCGCTTCCCTGATGTCGTGCACGCCGACAGGTGGGAGGAAGTCTCCCCCCGCAGAAGCCGCAACCTTCTGGAAGACACGAAATACTGCACTCCCATCCAGCTACGCAGGGGCCCACTCGTCAGGCCATTGAGCTGACTTAGTGTCAACGATGTCACGAAGATGACACTGGACTTGACCTTGGTACTCAAACTCTTGATCCACCAAGGGCGTAAGACAGAGCGACCGATGCAAAGTCCCCAAATATACTTTGTCAGCAGCAAAACCCTTAAACTCGCTCAAATATTGTTCGACGGCTCGCCGCTGAGCCCGACTGCTGATATCCTTGGTCCGTTGGACAAGACCATCCAACTTGTAGGTAGAGCACCCACCAACAGTCCGAAGAGTTTCCAGCCATTCCTGCCATTCAATATCCTGGCCTGGAAGTAAAGCAGTGGGGGCTTCTCTCCATTGCCCTTCCGACGATGCTAGGCAAGAGCGTAAAAAGTGTGTTGAGCCGCGTCCACCAGCAACTGAGTCGATCTCTCAAAAGGGGAGGCTCGACTCTTGGTGGGCATATTCAGCTCTTGAACAACAAAATGCACTCCAGGAGGACGAGGAGGACGAGGAGGAGGAGGAGGAGGAGGAGGAGGAGGAGAAGGAGGGGAGGAAGAAGGAGGAGGGGAGGAGGAGGAGGTGGTGGAGGAGGAGGAGAAGGAGGAGAGAGAGGAGAAGAGGGGATGAGAGAGCAGGAGGAAGGAGAGGAGTTTGAGGAGGAGAGGAGAAGGAGGAGAAGAAGGAAAGGGAGGAGAGGAGGGGGGAGGGGGGAGGGGGAGGGAGGGGTGGAGGGCGGAGAGGGGAGGAGGAGGAGGAAGACAGCATGTGTGTACCTATTCCTGTGGCGGAGGGCCCCGCCGGGAGAGGCGCCTCGTAGGAGGAGCAGGTCGCAGGGCACCAGCCAGCCGTTGCTGCCCACCTTGACGATGTCGCCCGGCACCTCGGGCGGGAGCAGTGGACACGGGCACCGAGGAGGGAGCCAGAGGAGGAGGAGGAGGAGGAGGAGGAGGAGGAGGAGGAGGAGGAGGAGGAGGAGGAGGAGGAGGAGGACAAGGTGGATCAAGAGAAGGAAGGAGGAGGAGGAGGAGGGAAGGAGAAGAAACACAGGAGGAGGAAAAACATATAAAGAAAGAAACACAGAAAGAGAAGAGGAGGCGGAGGAGGAGGAGGAGGACGAGGAGGAGGAGGATGACGAGGAGAAGCCCCCTTGCCGCCGCCGACGACGACGACAACGATGACGACGAGTTGGAGAAGAAGAGGGGGGATAGGGAAATGAGGAGGGGGAAGGGAAGGAGAGAAGGGGGGGGGGAAAGAGAAAGGGATATGGAAGGGGATGCGGGGGAAAGAAGGGGAAAAAGAGGAGGCGGAAGGAGATAAAGGGGCGACGGGGAGAGAGAACACAATAGATGGGAAAAGGAAACGGAATCGGACGAGTAGTGGGCGAGGTGAAAGAGAAATAGCAGGGGGGAAGACATCATCATGGTCATCACGATCACGGCCATCACCGTCATCACCATCGTGATCATCATCATCAGCAGCAGCATCGTCATCATCAGCATCATCATCATCAGCATCACCATCATCATTATCATCAGCACCAACATCATGAGCAGCCGCATCATCAGCATCATCAACAACATCGTCATCATCGTCCTTATCAGCACCATCAGCAGAATCGTGGGTATCACGACCACCACGCACCATCACAACCACACTCACCGTCACGATCAGCAGCATCCTCAGCATTATCATCATCACCCTCATCATCATCACCGTCAGCATCATCAGCATAATCGCCACCATTAGCAGCATCGCTATCGTCATCAGCATTACAGTCGTCATCAGCAGCATCATCATCAACACCATCAGGATCCTCAGCATCATGCTCATCATCATCGTCATCATCAGCATTATCATCGCCGATATCATCAGCAGCATCATCAGCAACAGCATCATCAACAGCATCGTCACCATCATCATCGTTCTCGTCATCATCAGCATCATCATAATCCTCATCAGCATCATCAGCATCATCATCAGCAACAGCATCATCATAATCCTCACATCCTGATCCTCATACTCGTCCGCATCCTCATCCTCCGCAGCATCGTCATCATCAACACCAATAGCAACCACAACTACAACAACCACAACAACAACGACGTTGACGACGACGACGGCGACGACGACAACAACAACCGCAACAACAACAACAACAACAACAACAACCACAACCACAACCACAACCACAACAACCACAGCAACAACTACTACAACGACAACCACAATCACAACCACAACCAAAACAACAACAACGACAATAACAACAACAATAATAATAACAATAACAACAACAACAACAACAACAACAACAACAACAACAACAACACCTGCAACAACCACACCAACAACAACAGCAGCAACAACAAGAACACCAACAACAGCAACAACAACAACAACTATGTTAAGACTGGTCGCTCTTATCTGCTCGCGTGCCATCACACATATCCCAAACCCTCGATACCCTCCCTTGTCGTCTTCGATCGTATCCCCTTGGGAGTGTCATTCTTACCTACAGCGTGCATTTCGTGCAGCAACTAAAGCACGGGGAGAAGACGGATGGAAGTAAGGGACAAGGGGGAGAGAGGAGGATGGAGCACGAGAAAGAGTAGCAGGAGGGAGGCTACGAACAGAGAACACGTGGCAGAACCAGGCGGGCAGATGGAGCGGGCAGACCCTAACAGGCGGGCCCAGGCGGCCAGGTCGAGCAGGCGGATTGTTAAAAGGTGCGTCTTGCATGAATCGCGAGGAAGCCTCGAGCGACGGCGCGATTCCAAAATAAACCTCGTCAGGAAATCCAGAGCGAAAGCGCGGATTTCCTGAGCGTCGAGGGTGCGGCGCCTGAATCAAATGCGAGGAAGTCCCGAGCGACCGCGCGATTCCTGAGCGTCGACAGCGCGACGCCCGAATACACTGCGTGGAAGTATCGGGCGAGAGCGCGATTTTCTATATAGATTGCAAGGACGTCCCTAGCGAGAGCGCGATTCGTCAATACATTGCGAAGAAGTATCAGGCGGGTGCCGCTGCTGTTGTAAACCAGGGGCCAAGGGCACAGTTTGAGCAGGAAGATTTCCACCGGTTAAACACAGCGAGCCCCGGGAGAGTCATTTAAATTGAAAAAAATAAGTTGCGCGAGTGCAAGAGTCCTGCGTAATTCGCCAGGAAGTTTCGGGCGAGAGCGCGATTCCTAAGTAAAGTATGAGGAAGTCCCAGGCGAGAGCGCGATTCCTGAATGGCGAAGGCGTGGCGCATGAATAGATTTCGAGACAAACGAGAGCGCGATTCTGGAATAAATTGCAAGGGCGTCCCTGGCGAGGGCGCGACTCCTTGATACATGGCGAGGAAATATTAGGCGGGAGCCGTTGTTGTTGCAGTTCGGGGGCCAACAATACAGTTTGAGGAGGGAGACTGTCCCTGATAAAAAGCCGGGTGCGAGCCCCAGGAAGGGCACTTCAATTGAAAAACACACATGTTACCGGAGAAGGGGGATCAACAATAACAATCACTAATCCTTCAGTTAATCTCAAATGGACAACGTACAACACGGCCTTCCCTCTCCACAACAACAACAACAACAACAACAACAACAACATAAACAGCACACCAACAAAACCAAAACAAAAAACACCAACATCAGCAACAACAACAACAACAACAACGACCGATAACAAAACAACCACAGCCACAGCAACAACAAACAGCAGACACCATCACATCAGCGATCGGCGCCCCATCCCAATACCTCCGCCCCCATCCCCTGTCCTGATCAACCCCCCTGCCCCATCCCCTCCTGCCCCCGCCTCCTCCTGCCCTGCACCTCGCGATCCTCCTCCCCTACCCCCTCCGCCTCCTCCTCCTGCTCCTCACTCCTCCTCACTGTTTCCTTCCCTCCACCCTCCTGCCTGCTCCTTCCTCGCTCCTCCCTGCTCCTCCTCCGCCTCCCTCCTCCTCCTCCTTCGGTTCCTCCTCCTCCTCCTCCTGCTCCTCCTCCTCCTCCTCCCCTTCTCCTCCTCCTCCTCCTCTTCCTCCTCCTCCTCCTCCTCCCCCCAGCCCCCCCCCCTCCCCCTCCTATCTTCTCCCTCTGCGCCCCTCCCTTCCGCGCGCACGGCTGGGGCTTGGAACGATCTCCCGCGAGCTGATCTCCATCTCCTTCGAGGAGCGCATCACCGTCACCTGCGGTTTCCAGGCGGGCCAGGGAGACCTAAAGGTGAAGGAAGAGGGGGAGGAGGACGATCACATGATACACGGCCATATAGGAGGACATCGACCACGCGCCGCCACCTAGGAGCCCGCGCCTCCGCAGAGGCAGCAAGATGACGGCTGCATCTGACACAACAGGGTGCAACCCAGTGGCCGGTCGGAAAGGGCACGTCCCAAGAGACACTCCTCGCGAGCTCCCCCCAAGAGGCAGCAGCAGAAGAAACCAAAACCAGTGCCTCCGACGCTGTCGGAGGCCCTAGGAGCCCGTTTGCGGGCCGCCCCCCCCGCCCCCGGCACGCGGCCCCCGCGCCCAGCGCAGAGGTTGAGAGAGAGGAGGGGGGGCAGCCTGTTTAAGCCAGGCGCGGCGCGGCGGGCGTCATCGTCGTCGTTCGTCTCGTGTCGCGTGACACGCTTCCAGATGGACCCTGCGCGGGCGTTCTGCCAGGAGGAAGCCACCCTGCGGCCCCGCCGACCCTGAGAGAGGCGCCCACGGGCCGGAGCTGACCCCGAGGAGTCCCTCAACGCCACCTGCTGGGCAGTCGGCTGCATACTGCCTACGACCGCGCGGGCTCTGCAGAAATTTGGCCCGAACTGAGCTACACCCTGGGCACATCGGCTCCACAGGTGGGACGCGCCGACGAAACGTCCCAGCCGCCAAACGGAGCTCACACAACCAGTGCGAATCGGGCAACCACCTCCAGCGGCGCCCGTCCTCCAAGGGGCCAAGGACGGATGAGGGGGAGGAAGCGAGGAGGGAGGGGATCCCCCCCTGCAGGGCCCCGGGCACTGTCGTACCCCGAACCCTGGTCGAAAGCGCAGCCGAGGAAGACCAGCACGGTGCCCCCTCCGCCGAACGGGACCCTCCCGCGACAGAAGCGAGGAGGGAGGGGATCCCCCCCCCCCTGCAGGGCCCCAGGCACAGTCGCACCCCGAACCCTGGTCGAGAGCGCAGCCGAGGAAGACCAGGGCGGCGCCCCCCTCCGCCGAACGGGGACCCTCCCGAGACACGGGCGCCCCGGCGCCATCGGGCCTTCGTGGCCACTGCAGCCACTGCCCGGGCGAGCCTCGGGGCCTCACGCCGCCTGCACGCGCTGCTGCCCAGTTGCCGACCTGGCTCGCCTTCAACGTGCCCAGAGGCGTTTTTGTTCAGCGCTTTCGGCTGGGCGTCTATGAGATGATGTTCATTGTGTGCTCAGGTCTTAACCAAGCTACTAGTTTTGGGTCGGGCATGTCTCCCACACATGCGGATTGTGGACGAAAACTAAAAAATAAGGTCCACAACTATTCCAGCATTGTCAAAACTAACCATAATAATACCCCGACGATTGTCTGGTTATGTTTGAACATTCCTCCTGTAGAGGGACATGCCCGACTTAATACGACTTACTAGTTACGCCCCGGGCTGGAAGTAGGCCACGAGGCCAGGGCCTTGCCTCACAGAGTGCAGCAGAGCGACAACAGCCTCACGAGGTTGCCGAGAGGGGGGGGACTTCCCCCACTCCCAGGGCTGAAGGATCCTGCCAGCTAGGAAGAGGAGGAGGAGGAGGAGGAGGAGGAGGAGGAGGAGGAGGAGGAGGAGGAAGAGGAGGAGGAGGAGGAGGAGGAGGAGGAGAAGGAAAAGGAGA